TCTATTGAGATTTTCTATTTCCTCTTGAGGCAGTTTGGGTAGCTTGTGTGCTTCTAATAATTTGTCCATTTCATCTAGGTTATCCAGTTTGTTGCCGTACAGTTGTTTATAACATTTTGTCATAATTCTCTTTATTTCTATTGGATCAATCGTAATGTCCCTTCTTTTTATTTTGATTTTGATTATTTGTCTCTTTTATCTTCTTTCTTTGTCAATCTAGCTAAAGGGTTGTCAATTTTATTGATCTTTTCAAACAACCAACTTCTGGTTCTATTGATTCTCTCTATTGTTTTTCTGTTTTGATTTTCTTTATTTCTACTCTGATCATTGTTATTTCCTTTCTTCTGGACATTGAGGCTTAGTTTGCACTTCTCTTTCTAGTTCCTGGAGTTGCCATATTAGGCTGTTGATTTGAGATATTTTTTCTTTCTTCATGTAGGCATTTATTTCTGTAAGTTTCCCTCTGAGTACTGCCTTCACTGCATCCTATAAGTTTTGATATGTTGTACTTTCATTTTCATTTGACTCTAGAAAATTTGTGATTTCTGTTTCAATTTTTTCTTGACTTACTGGTAGTTTAGTAGTGTGTTGTTTAATTTTCATACATTTGTGTATTTTCCAGGTTTTTTTTTTTCTTTTCTGTTATTGATTGCTAGCTTCACTCCAGTGTGGTCAGAGAAAATACTTTGTAGGATTTTAATCTTTTTAAATTTACCAAGACTTGCTTTGTGACCTAACATGTGGTCTATCCTGGAGAATGATCCATGTGCACTGGAGTAGAATATATATTGTACTGTGTTTTTTTTGGGGGGTGGAATGTTCTACATATGTCTGTTAAGTCTACTTGGTTTATAGTGTCATTCAAGTCCTCTGTTTCCTTGTTGATCTCTTTCTAGATGTTCTGTAGAAATAACACTCTAAATAGAACAGTTTTTTTTTATTTCAGCTCTATCCTTCCTTTCAGATAAATTTAGAAAATCCATCACCTTATCTAATATAAGTATAAATAAATATGAATAGGCATCTAATTAAAAATGTATTTGGAAAAAGGAGGGAAGAAAAAGGCATAATAAATATCTGATAAACAACTGAAAAAAGAAGAAAAATCATAAGTCTTAGTTTTAGAAGGGATCTTAGAGACAAACTTACCTAAATTTTCATTTTTATTGATATGGAATAGAAAAAAAAAGTCTGAGAGGAAGAAAAAAGAATGGGTGAACTTCTGCTCCCACATAAACGGTTCAAAGTTAGGTTAATTACCAGGAGAATGAGCCTCTTGATGTGTACTCCTATTGCAGAACTGTGCCTTCAGAAGGTCCCATCCAGACACCCAGACAGCCCCCTTCCATCCAGCACCCTATCAGTTACCTGAGGGCCAAAGCCTAGCAATCCTATATCCCTCTTTCTCCCCCCAGTATTCTTTTATAGAATGAAAGGATAGCAGCCTGAGGTAGACACTAAGCATGTTAAGCTTAAGTTACAGTTTTAAATAGAAACAACAGCTTAGTGACATAAGATTGATTCCCAGTTCGGAAGAACTCAGAGGCTCTGTGAGCAGAGCTTAATCAGAGGATTTTATACAAAAGAACAAAATATCTGGAGCAACTCAGGTCTCATATAGCACTTACATTTAATGTGCATCTTTTGGATTATTTTAGTTTAGGGCAGTAACAATCCTTTTTCAGCTCCTCTAAATTGTTTGTTGTTATTAGTTGCCGTCGAGTCTATTTAGACTCATGGCAACCCCACATGTGCAGAGTAGAACTGCGCCATAGGGTTTTCACAGCTGTGACCTTTTGGAAGCAGATCACCAGGCCTGTCTTCCAAGGTGCCTTTAGGTGGTTCTGAACGACCAACCTTTCATCTAGTAGTCAAGCACTTAACCATTTGCACCACCTAACCACTTTTCCAAATTGCTACAGATTAGTAAGTCTACCAACTCTACTTTAAAGAATAATGGAAATACTATCTCATCAAGATCTTCTGTTGCTGGGTGGAAGAGGTAAAGTAGGAAATCTGTTCATTGTATAACTAAGTAAAAGTAAAAAGGTTATCTTCCAATTTTACCACCTTCACCCTGGCTTGAACTCTTCTAGGACCAAAATTTATTGTGAGAGAATGTGTTTATTCCACAAGTGTTTAAATTTGAGTAGCTTAGATGCCCTTTAAATTACACTTCAGACATATAAAAGAGTGTATAGAAGAGTCTGGATTAGCTAATTAGAACCTGCTATTCTGGACCAAGAAGCCCCTGGGTGGTGCAAACAGTTAACATGCTCAGCTGCTAACCAAAAGGTTGGCGGTTCAAGTTTACCCAGAGGTACCTGGGAAGAAAGGCTTGTCAATCTACTTCTGAAAATATCAGTCATTGAAAACCCTATGGAGCACAGTTCTACTCTGACACACATGGGACGGCCATGAGTTGGAATTGACTCAATAGCAACTAGTCACTGGTTATTCTGGACCAAAACAAACAAACATGTCACAAACTAAAATTTACAAAGGTAATCTGAAATACAAAGCCAACTGTCAATCTTTCAAATCATCTCTTCTTCGTTCCTTATCAGTTTTGTCTCTGTACTCTTGCTTTTCTAGGAAGGGATATTACTTCCTGGCCTTAAATGTCTCCTGCCTCGTACTAAATGGCAAAAATAAGCCAGCCAAATAGCAACTCCTAATCACTCTGTAAACTGAAATGGTGTTCACAACAACAGTCAAGGACAAAAGAATGAAGATTTCTTGTGATAAATATATCTTAGGCTATGCTGAAACACAGTGTAGTGGCTTTACTTCTCAAACGGGGTGCTCCAGCACAGGGGCACACAGCATGTACAACGGGACGCGGAATCACGAGGTGAGCCTAGCACAGGGCTTTGGAGTATCAATTTTACTGGACTATTTTAAGGAAAACACTCTAATTTTTAAAAATATGTAAGTATCAGTAATATATCAAATTTAAATGAATTTTTAAGATACTTCAGAAAATTCCACAATTGTGATCATTCCATTAAACTATGTCCCCAAGAGATATTCATTCACTCTCTTCTGACATCAGGAGGACTTCACCGTGCAAGTCCAAGATGTACTGATATAGTGGGGAGAAAACCCAACAACCAACATGGGTTCAAGTCCCAGATCTACCCCTTACAAACAAACTGTGTGACCTCGGCCAGGTCACTTACCTCTCCTTTTCTCACCTGCAGACTTAGGAGCCTATCACTTGTGATTTTACATACCTCTTAAATGATAAGTTTCTATTCAAATGCAAGGCATGAGTAACATTTTATTTATGACACCAGTGGTTTTATCTAGTGCAAATGATATAGAAACCTTGGAAAAATATAAACTTCATACTTCAAAAATTATGATCTCTCTCCATATGAAATTTTCCTCTCTTTCATTGCATTAAAAGAAAGATTAGATTAGTGAAGCGACACACAGTTTTCTGCAGTCACAGACTAGAAAAAGCTAAGTGTGAATTATTGGGAGTTAAGTTATAAGAATCTAGGAAAGAAGATACAGACAATACTTAATTTTTTTAGAAGAAGCAAGAATAATCCTAGGAAGTAAAAGAAGATTGGATTCCTTCCTGATTGTTTTTGGAGAAGCTAAGACCAAGACATAACAAGTTGGTCCTCCACAGCTGTGCTGCTTGGCAACCAAAAGAATTTTCTGGTTCACTGTGCTGACCAAACTGTGAAAAAGGGAGCTGTCCCCACTGAGCAGCAGGGATAAGTAGGAAATCTGCACTGTAAAGAAGTAAGGGGCCTGGGTGCCAAATTTAAAGGTCACCAAACACAATGCAAGAAAAGTAAATATTTTAGGGTAGTAAAGACTAATTTGCTAATTTGAAAGTGTAGTGGTAAAAGTCTACTTTATTTACTTACGCATTCTTTGACAAATCCAACTGTGTGAGCAAAAAATAGAATTAACAGTCAAAAAGGAGGAACATTTTTAAATGTTCTCAGCCAGTGTTTAAGATGTATCCAGGGGCTTTCTCTTCCTCCCAACACCAAGAGCACATTGTTGGCCCAAGTGAAATTGTTATTTGTACAAAAAATCTTTTGTGGAGTCCATGAAACAGAATTGTTCAAACTAACTCTTGAGATAAGGACCCTGAAAATGGTTATAAACATATGATCTGCATTACAGTTAGTCTTGAACAAAATGATCTTTATCAGATTTTGTCTTAAGTTTTTCCAACTCTTGACATTCAAATATTCTTTTTGCTCCAAAAGAATTAATGTGCTAACAGTTTTTTTCAAAAAATAGAGACAACTACAGAGATTAGAGATGAACATTTATCTCCGTTACAACACTAGTAGAATTTTAGTAAAAGGGTTGGAAATAATATCTATTTAAATTAAATTAAGAAAAAGCAAAAGATAAGAAGTTTACTTTTTCTGAGAGAGAAAACTGATATTTTTTTGTTTGATTTCCTTACATTTTGGAATGAAGGGTTACTATAAAATCTTTAAATAAACTTTTAAAATAAACCATTCTGATAAAAGTAATATTTGGTCTGGTCTTTAAAAAGCCACTTTTGTTATTTTATGGCCATTCTAAAATGAGAATGTATCCCTGAGTCACAGACTCTCCTAATGCCGTTTTGCTGGGGATGTATATGCTTTGTCAGACAACACGGCATAGCGGAAGGTGAGCCCAATTGGCTTCCAAAGCTCTGTTTTCCTGTACTGTCTTTGACACTAATGAGCTCTGTGATACTTAAGCTCTCTTGATCTCAACTTTCTTGTCTGTAAAGCTACAACACTCGATTAGATCTATGTTTCTAATTTTTACTTGTTCAGCCTTTAGATACTATTTGGTGTGAATCTGAACTCATGAACTCCTTAAATAGCTCCGAGGTCGCCCCCACTCCACCCAACAACCTGTAGTCCATTAGTGGCAACCTCTGGACACTAGGTTCTTTAAGGACTTATTACTCTAGAACTGGAGTAAAGAAGGGGAATGGGAAGGAAGGACACACAAACACTACTTACTTTTCAAAGAAATATCTGATAATCAGCAATCCAAAAGCATATGGAATTGACATGTATAGATGAGAAGGTTTTACAAAAACAAGTCCATCATGATCTTCAAAATCCGACCACTTTATTGTTGGAGGAAGCCAGAATCTTTCCATCCAGAACCATTCTTTAAATGTCTGAAACATTCTAGAGGGATAGGAAAAGAATTCGTTAGACTTGTAAAATAAACAAACACTTAAAATTGAGATAATATTGCACTTCATTGACTCAGAATACCTAAACCAGATAGCTTTGAAAAATAAGGGCAGAATGGAATACTATCATATAATGGATTTCATAATTCTCCATTGCATTAAACAGCAATTGCTCTGCCTACCCTCAGGACAATTTTGGCTGTAGCAGAGCAAACTGAAGTTTAACACACCACAGTTCACACTTTTGGCAGAACACATGTGAATATTATGGGTATGTACCTTTCTCTTATATGGTTCTATGTTATTAAAAATAATTTGACAATAGGCTCTACAACTTCTACATGCAAAAGGTCAACCTCATGAAAGCTCCAAGTATGTATAAATCTTCACTAAGAACTTCCCTGGGAGATACAGGACAGGCACATTTAACTTCATATTATAATAAGGAGTTGCAATTACTCTATTTCAACAAACACTTATAGAGATTCTATTATTTGTCAAGCGCTGTTGCGAGGCATTGAGGATACGGCATTCCTGACTTGAGAATCTTATATTCTCGTGGGCAAGGCAAAACTGAACAGATGGCTTTGGTACATTTTTCAGGTACAATAATAAAGGTATATACAAGGTGCTGTGGGAACAGGACAACAGGCTCTGTGCCAAGCCAGTCAGGGAAAGATAATTGGAACAGATGACTCCTGAGATGTCTTGAACAATAAGTGAAAATAAGCCAGGGAAAGACATAAAAATGGGAAAGAGTGAATAGATGTTTTAAGGGCAGAAAATACTATGATCAAGTAACAAGAAGCATAGAATAATACAGAATTAGATGTTTTAATCTCACTGTTTAGTCTGTGGCTATATTGATCTTGCCATTTTGACCCTGAGGATGCTTTGATTTCATCTTTTAATGTTTAGTGAGAGAAAGGAGTCAAAATATCCTCAGATTCACAATAACAACAACAACAAAGCCAAACCAGTTGTTACTGACTCAATTCCGACTCATGGCAACCCCATATGTTTCAGAGTAGAACTGTGCTCCACAGGATCTTCAATGGCTATCACCTTTTGGAAGGAGACAGCCAGGTCTTTCTTCCAAATCACCTCTGTGTGGATTTGAATCACCAACCTTTTGGCTAGTAGCCAAGCACTTAACCATTTGAGCCACTGAGGGATGCCCAGATTCACAACAGGTGGTCAAAATAACTCTGAAAACCTCTTGATTTGGAAATAACATGTATACATGAAAAACTATAAGCAGTTTGGTACTACTACAGCATAATAAAACCCTCTGGAAATTTCAATAAATTGTACACCTGTAAAAAAAAATTAATTGGCAAACAAAAAACAAAAACCATGGATGGGGCAGTCCTATTCTGTCTCATGAGATCACTATGAGTAAGGATCAACTCAACGGCAAACAACAACAGCATAATAATACAAGGTGTGCAATTGTGGGTTATAAATAGGTTCCAGACAGTCGAAGTTTATTGTCCTGGCATGATTATTAATAGCCCCCCTTTCTTGTTCAAAAGTGTCTCAGTTTGGACAGTAAGTCATATGGTCACTCTAATCAAAAGGCTGATGAGACAGGTAGGGCTAGGTCAGAGATGGTTTATAGTCCATGGACTTCTGTTTATGGAATCCACTGAAGAGTATTTTGCAGAAAAATAAAATGATCAGATGTTTTAGAAGGTCACTTTGGCAGCCAGGTCCTCTGGGAGCCCATAGGGTGTTTTGGGTCAATTAGAAAAAGGATCCTACTCTAGGCAGATACAGCCCTTCAACCCAGTTTGCATGATTTTATGAGCAGATAAAGGACTAGATTTCAGTCCCCACAGTCTCTCTGGCCAGGCACATACATGGCAGCTCTGCTGGCAGTGAGACTGAATACATTTCAGGAGATGGAAAGACTGGAAAGCCACTAGTGCTGGAAAAGCATTAGAAGCAGTTAGAAATGGGAAGGCTTGCACTAAAGTAGAATCTGAATATGCTGATAAAAGTGTAGTTCATGAAATTAACATGGGATCCAAACTGGGTGGAGAATAAAGTGAGGCCAAGAGAAAAAGTGAGATTGAGAAGAAAACAGAAAACTCAAGGGACTGGAGGTCAATGAACAAGTGTGGTGGGAGTGGAACTAAGGGCCCAAGAAATCTGGAAGACTAGAACAGAGGTTAAGCTCAAAGAGGGGAATACTGAAGTTACAGATTACTAATTTCAGATGAGAAATAATTCCATTCCATTTAGTGTGGGTATTTCTGAAGGACCTCCATATCCTTCAGAAATACCCACACTAAAACCAGTCATTGAACTGTGGTGAGATAATTCCCTAACTCATTTTGCCTCTTATCTACTGTTTAGAGAAGTGTTCATCCAAAGTAGTACTAGACCAGTCAAATCTACACCTGCAAGGTTGGTGCCCTTGGAGAGAAGCTACCTTCTTTTTCACATACTATCATTGTACTAAAACTACTACCCTGAGAGGGAAGGGTAAATCTGTTTACACAAACACGGTGAAGTAAAGATAATCGACAAAGATTTCTTGAATGCTTCCTCTCTATTAGGCTTTGGGACTACAAAAAGGACAGGGATGATCCTGACTTCAGGGAGCTTACAACTGAGTCAAGACTGATGTGGATCTAGTCTAGGGAGGGTGCCGTGAGAACTGATGAAAACCTTGTTAGGAAGGAAAGATTAATACACTTCGATGGCCCATTTGGTAGAGTAACTGAGGATTCAAGCTTGGTTGCCTGGGCCATCTGACATAACTGACCAAAAGACGAAATCAAAAGTGGAAATCCACTTTGAAGGGCACAACCAGATACGGCTCAGAACAAGAGCGGGCACAAATCTTTGAGTCACATTCAGCTAAAATTCAAACTTCCTACAGAACTTAGAAACCAACCCAGACTTCAGAAGGCTCTCTGTAATGGACAAACCTTGGACCAGGCCTGTGTCCCTCAGTGGTGTCTGACCTAGACAGGCCTGCAAGGGCAAAGATATTGTTTTCCTAGAAATTTGCCTCAGCATGTTCATTACTTTATTGACTCCAAATTTAATAGACTAGGGTTCAGGGAACAAATAGCAACAGCAATGAATTAGTTTTTCTTTCAATATTGTTATAATAACTGTCATACAAAATAGTTTGCTCACTCCTGGAATGCAACTCTAGACAGTACAGTTTACTTTTTCCAGTATGAAATATAACAATAAAATAGTTAACAACGGTTATGCAGGAGTTATCACTCTAAACTATCAGTCTAGACAATTCCTCATGCATTTATATGCAAGCAATGAATCAGGATCTATTGAAAGTCATGGTAACTTTAACTTTAACACCTAATGTTTACAACATTTGAAGGAAGATAGAAAGAACTCAGAAGTTGAGGGTGATGCTCAAGAAAATGTTGTTCAAACTGAGGGAAAAAAAACTGCATTATTCACTCTTCATCGTTTGCTTCCAAACATCAATTATTGCTGCTTCAAAAGAGTTAAGAACCCGTCCTCACACCATCCACAAAAATTAACTCAAACTGAGTCATAGACTTAAATGTAAAAGCTAAAGCTATAAAACTCTTAGAAGAAAATAAAGGAGTAAATCTTCGTGACCTTGGGTTAAGCAAAGCCTTCTTAGATATGACACCAAAAGTACAAGCAACAAAGGAAAAAAATAAATTGGACCTTATAAAAATTAAAACCTTTTGTGCTTCAATGACACACAAGAAAGTGAAAAGACAATCTACATAATGGGAGAAGATATTTGCAAATCATATATCTAATAAAGTACTTGTATCTAGAACATATAAAGAACTCCCACAACTCAATAATAAAGATAAATCACACCTTTCAAAAATGGACAAAGTATCTGAATAGACATTTCACCAAAGAAGATATACAAATGGACAATAAGCACATGAAAAAATGCTCAACATCATTAACCATCAGAAAAATACAAATCAAAACCACAAGAAGACACCACTTCACACCCAAACCAAAAGGAGAAACAATAACAACTGTTGGCAAAGATGTACAGAAATCAGAACCCTCATACATTGCTGGCGGAAACGTAAAATGGTGCAGCCACTCTGGAAAACAGTCTGGTAGTTTCTGAGAATGTAAAACATAGAGTTACCATGTGACTCAGCAATTCTACTCCTGGGTTTATACCCAAGAGAATTGAAAATACATGTCCACACCAAAAATTATTCACGAATATCCACAGCAGCATTATCCATAATATTCAAAAAGTAGAAACAACCCAAATATTCATCAACCGATAAATGGATAAACATAATATGGCATATCCATATAATGAAATATTACTTGGCCATAAAAAGAAATGAAGTTCTGATAAATGCTACAACATGGATGAAACTTGAAAACAATAGGCTAAGTGAAATAGGCCAGACACAAAAGACCACATATTGTATGATTTCATTTATATGAAATGTCCAGAACAGACAAATCCATAGAGATGGAAAGAAAGTTAGTAGTTCCTTACAGTGAGCAAGAGAAGAGTTGGGGGGAAATGGGAAGTGACTGCTAATAAGAACAGGGTTTCTTTTCTGCATGATGAAAATGTTCAAATATTGATTGTGGTGATGGCTGCACAACTATGTGAATACACTAAAAACCATTCAACTGTACATTTCAAGTGGGTGAATTGTATGGCAAGTGAATTATATGTCAGTTATATCTTTAAAAAAAAAAAACTTAAGAAGCCTTATTCTCAGCTTCATCACTTTTTAACCTTTTCACCTTTTAACCCACGGCCCATCTTGAACTTCATCCTAGAGCTTCCTATTACTTTATTTATGGGGCTTAAGTTTTACCTCCTATATTTCACCTGAATCAAGTTTGTGCCCATGAATCCAGAAAAATAAATAAAGGAAGGAAAGATATATCCACTTTCAAACTTCTGCATGATTTTGAAGTTTACAACTTTCTGGAAATTTAAAAAAAAAAAAAAATAGCATGCTTTAAAAAACAAAATGAT